GCTTGAAGTTCTCGTCGAGGAAAGCGTAGAGCACGGGGTTGAGGCTGCTGTTGGCGTAGCCCAGCGCGATGCACAGGTGCAGCGCGGCCACCACCAGCGGGTCGCGCCTGTTGATGTCCACCAGCGTCCAGACGATGACAAAGATGTGGATGGGCGCCCAGCACACCACGAAGGCGCCCACCACCACCAGCACCATGCGCGTGATGCGCCGCAGGCTGCGGTCCTTCTCCTTGGAGCCCGAGAGCAGGCGCACACTGCGCAGGCGCAGCAGCATGAGGCCGTAGCACACCGTGATGATGAGGATAGGCACCACGAAGGCGAAGAGGAACACGCAGATCTTGGTCACCGTGTCCCAGTACCAGCTGGGGCTGGGGAACTGGAGCGTGCACACCACCGCTCCATCTGGGCCGAGGAAACAAGGAAAGACAGAGAGGGGTGAGGGGCCTGTGTGCCCAAGGGCCCCTGCCAGCTCGCCCCACGCTTCTAAAGCTTGGCCAAGTCCCACCACCTCCTCTCGGCTTTACTCACGGTGATTCACTGCCTGGAATGTCCTCCTTCGCTTCTGTACTTGGTGAACTCCTACTCATTCTTAAAGACCCTAGCAGGATTGGCCCTCATCTGGGAGGTGCCCTTTCTGTGTTCTCTCCAGCCCCTTTATAAGTCTCTGTGTCCACGAGCAGCAATAATGAAACACTTTGGCCCGGTCCACTAATTGCCCATCATCCTGATAACTCAAGACACCCGACCCATTTCCACACTAGCTCCACTGAAGAAGAGTACTGCTAAGACTGAGAGAGCATGAGTCAGGAGCAGGCCTCAGGCCCTACTTGCTGCATGGTGTGACCTTGGAGAGATCATTCAACCTCTTCCAGCTTCAGTAGGGTGGGATGAATAACAGTGCACACATCTTTATTTATTTATTTATTTGTTTGCTTATTTTGGTTGGAGTCTCACTCTGTCACCCAGACTGGAGTGCAGTGGCCGGCCGCTCCCGGCCACCGCAGCCTTGACCTGCTGGGCTCCAGCGATCCTTTCACCTCAGCCTTCCAAGTAGCTGGAACTACAGGCGCATGCTACCACGCCCGGCTAATTTTTGACTTATTGTAGAGATGAGGTCTCGCCAAGTTGCCCAGGCGGGTCTCGAACCCGCGGGCTCAGGCAATCCAATCACCTCAGCCTCCCAAAGCGCTGGGATTACAGGCTGAGCCACCGAGCCCGGCTAGTGAACACATCTTATAGGACTGCTGTGAGGACTAAATGGGCAACACACAGAAAGCATTTAATACAGTGGGGTTCAAGCTCTGGTGTACTCAGGGAGTCTGGAGTCAGGGCTAGGGCCAGTCTCCCAGAGAGAAGTAGATCTCTGCTTAATTTCAAAAACATCCTGATGGCAGACTTGCCCAGAGACAGGAAAGGAGCCCAGGACAGATGAACTCCTCATTCCTGGAGTATGGGCTGGGGATGGATGAGTCCCTGTTGTGGGATTCCAACATAGGCCTGAGGCTCCCATGATCTCTTGGAATGTGAGAGTTTAAGGAGTCACACAGCAGACTTGAACCTGAGAGTTATGAGAAGAGAGCTGGGGATCCACAGACAGAGATGGACCACAGAGCCAGGTATGGTGGCTCACATCTGTTATCCCAGCACTTTGGGAGGCCGAGGCGAGAGGATTGCCTGAGTCCCGGGGTTCGAGGCCAGCCTGAGCAACATGGCGAGAACTCATCTCAACAAAAAAATCAAAAATCAGCTGGGCATGGTGGCGCATGCCTGTGGTTCCAGCTGCTTAGAAGGCTGAGGCAGAAGGATCACCTGAGCCCAGTAGGTCGAGGCTGCGGTGACTGTGAGTGTGCCACTGCACTCCGGCCTGGGCAACAGAATAAGGTTCCGACTCAAAAGAAAACCCACACCAAAATGGGACCACAGGACATCAGTCCAGCAAGTTCAACACCTGAATCCAAGACCTTCGTTGTATAGATGGCAGAACCAGGCCCAGAGAGGAAACAGCACTTGTTTAAGGTCACCCAGCAAGTGGCAAAGAGAATCAGTAAGTGCTGACGGCACATACTGGGGAGAGTATGTGAGAGAGGGCATGCGGAGTGAGGCGGGTGAGGAGGCCCATCTGGTCTAGCCCTCAGCAGGGCTGCAGTTAATGGCGTGGAAACTTCAGGCTGACAGTGAGGAAAGGCCCCTGCTGCTAAGTCCAGCCCAACCACTCAGAGGCTGTGTGAGGGCACCGGGCTCTGTCCTTGTGAGGGTCAAGGGTAACCAAGAAGCCTCCCATCCAGTCTGTTCCCCTCTCCCACCCCCAGCATGGAACCTCTGCAAACCTCCACCCAAGAGGCCAAAAGAAGCAACAGATCTGAAGGCAGAAACCCTGAGTTTCAGGCCAAATCCCACCAAATGCCTGGCTGTGTGACCCTAAGTAAACCACCTGACTTTTACGATTTTCAGTTTTCCTACAGTCAAATGGAAGTAGGAGTACCTGCCTTGTTGATCTCACAGGCTTAATCATTTAACAGCTGCTAGTTATTAGACCTTGGCAACGAGCCAGGCCTTGTCCTAAATATTTTACACATATTACCTCTTTCAACCTTCTCAGCACCCCATGATGTAGTGTGGCAGAGCGAGGCAATTAGTCTCTGGCGCCCTTCTAGATGACGTTCCCACTTCTTTCCATCAAACTGGGGCTGTGGGGCCAGTTATCAATAGGAAGGGATGGGCCATGACATTTAAAGTGGTTGTGCGTTCTCCCTACTCCCTCTCCATAGTCATCTGCCGGCCAGATGCCAGCAGTGGAAGAATCAGAGACCAGCAGTAGGAGCCCAGGTCCCTGAATGCCTGTGTGCTCCACTTACGCTGGATTGCGATGTGTGTGAGAAAGAAATTTTTACTATGTTAAGCCCCTGAGTTTTGCAGACTATGTGTCATAGAAGTTACCTTAATACAGGCAGTTACTATAATAATCACCATTTAAAGCCAGGCATAGTGGCTCATGCCTGTAACCCCAGCACTTTGGGAGGCAGAGGCGAGAGGATTGCCTGAGTTCAGGGGTTCGAAACCAGCCTGGGCAACTTGGTGAGATCTCATCTCTATAACACATCAAAAAATTAGCTGGGTGTGGTGGCGTGTGCCTGTCGTTCCAGCTACTTGAAAGGACTGCCTGAGCCCAGTAGGTCAAGGCTGCGGTAGCCGTGAGCATGCCACTGCACTCCAGCCTGGGGGTGACAGAGTGAGATTCCAACTAAAAAAAAAAATCACCATTTTACTCTAAGGAAATGCACGTGTCTGGCATTCTCTGTAGGCCATTCTCTAGGCCTTGCTTTGGTCATCTGGGTCAATGGTTTTCAAACTGGGGTGAAAGGGAGTTTGGGGTAGGACTGCAGATCTTGCACCCTCCACTGTTCACTGGCCAGTGGCCCTCTCACCCCACTGGCCATCCATCCATCTCCTGGTAGGCCAGATCATCCACACATTCCTGGCTAGCCACCTACATGCACACAGACCAGTCATCCATAATCCCATTCATAAATTCATAAATTCCCTTTGCCATATGACCATGGATCAATCACTCATCCTCACAATAGCCAACCATTCACATTCCCCATGAGCCAATCATTCCCATTCCCGTTGGTTGACCTTCCACACTCCCGTTGGCTAGCCATCACTTTTTTTTTTTTTTGAGTTAGAGTCTTACTCTTTCACCCAGGCTGAGTGCAGAGGCATGCTCACAGTCACTGCATCCTTGACCTGCTCAGGCAGTCCTTCCTCCTCAGCCTTCCAAGCAGCTGGAACTATAGGCATGCACCACAACCCCTGGCTAATTTTTTTTTTTGAGTTGGAGTCTCACTCTGTCACCCAGACTGGAGTGCAGTGGCCGCTCCCGGCCACCGCAGCCTCGACCTGCTGGGCTCCGGCGATCCTTCCACCTCAGCCTCCCAAGTAGCCGGAATTACAGGCATGCGCTACCACACCTGGCTGATTTTTTTATTTATTGTAAAGATGAAGTCTCGCTGCCCAGGTGGGTCTCAAACCCGCGAGCTCAGGCAATCCACTCACCTCAGCCTCCCAAAGGTGCGGCATTACAGGCTGAGCCACTGAGACTGGCTCAATTTTTTTTTTAATTTATTGTAGAGACAGATCTCGCCAAGTTGCCCAGGCTGGTCTCAAACCCTTGGGTTCAGGCAATCTTCTCACCTCTGCCTCCCAAAGTGCTGGGATTACAGGCATGAGCCATCGTGCCTGGCCCATCACACTTTCATTGAGCAGCAAGCCACACCTCCAGTGGCAAGCCACCCATACTCACCCCGGTAAGAGCCCTACAAGCCCACAGAGGCCCATATGCCACCTTCTGTGGCCAGTGGCCTATGCCACAGCTCACTCGCTCACTCACCCCGGGGACGGGTTACAGCCATGACCATGATGGGCACGCCAATGCCTGAGGCCAGGACCCAGATGCAGATATTGATCAGCTTGGCCTTGGCGGGCGTGCGGAAGTCCAGGGCCTTGACAGGGTGGCAGACAGCAATATAGCGGTCAACACTCATCATGGTGAGTGTGAAGATGCTGGTGAACATGTTGTAGTAATCAATGGAGAGCACAGCCTTGCAGAGCAGTTCGCCAAAGGGCCAGGTGTCCATCAGGTACTTGGCACTCTGGAAGGGCAGTGTGCTGGTGGCCAGTGCGTCAGCCAAGGCCAGGTTGAAGATGTAGATGTTGGTGGCTGTCTTCATCTTGGTGTACCTTAGAAGGAAGTAAATGCACGATTGATCCCATATCACAGATTTCAATTTCACATAAAACTCAGGGAGGTAGCCGGGCTCAGTGGCTCAGCCTGTAATCCCATGCCTTTGGGAGGCTGAGGTGAGTGGATTGCCTGAGCCCGTGGGTCAAGA